CGGGGGAGGAGAGCGGGACACGGTAGCCTCACCGGGTAGCGAGGGCACGGCGGGCAGGGAAGCGACAAGGGGAAAAGCGTTACGTGTTAATTTGGTTTATGCCAATAGCGGGCCCAAAGCACAACGTCAGGCTCTGATTAAACCTTCTGATGTTTCAGAGGAGTTGGTTATTTTCTTGGAGGTACCTTATTTTACGTGTGAAAGAAATGACGTGAAATAAATTAGTCTGGAGTGAATTTGGTAAGTTTTGTTTGTTTTTTCCCTCCTTACTTGTTGAAGGCAAATCTTGAAAGATGGTGCCAGGCATCACGGGTTAGCTGAACTTGGAGCTGACCGTGCGTAAACTTCTCGTGGGAATGGACCGGGAAAGATTCTTGTTAGGTACTTTCTTTTTCTTGGTAACAGTAATCCTCTTGAAATGCAGAAGAAAACATAATTTATTTGTAAACTAATAAATGAAGACGTGCAAAGAAAATTACGCTGTTGAGATCAAATAAAAAAGGGAGATATGCCGTAATAGGTCTGTTTTCTGTTGCACAGGTTACAGTGCAGCTCCGAGAGGAGGTGTGTGAGGAGCTCTACAAACATGTTTGTATTTGTGTCAGATTTTCCCAGTGATCATCACCTGAAATACAATCCTTAACGTGTACACAGATGGGTGTAATTCTCTGGGAGAAAGATAGCGAAGAGATGGTTTTTCGTTTTTCTAGGGAAGGTATTGTTTTAGTGGAGGAAAAAAATGGTTTTTTGCTTATAAAAGAAGTTGCTGGGTAGACACAGAGAAGGGCTAAGTGTCTGAAGTGCCTGCTTTGTAACTCCTGATGGTTTGCACTTACAGAGTTAAGCTGTTGAAGATGACTTGAGATACAAAATAAAATATAAAAGTTCAAGACGAGGATAATGTGAATACTGTATTGTGTTTTAAACTTATTAGCGTATGGCCCACTCTATTCGCATCTAAAAAGAACCATTGCTTTTCCAGTTCTTCAATAGGAAATTAATTTTACTGGATTCTGTTTTCTTATTTCAGTGCCAATGGAAGTGCATTAGCACAATAAATACTATATATCCCCTTTCCAAAAATGTACAGTCTAACTTTAAATACTATATAAGCAGTGGAAGCTACACATAAAGGGCACAAAATACTTGAGGATACTCAATGGAAAGACAAGATTTGGAATACAGATGATCTGATCTCATAGCCGTAGTACGCCTAGCTGTAGAATAGCTTTTGGAGGGCAAAATAAAAGACAGAGAGAAAAATTTAAGGTGGGATGAAATGCAACATAGTTTTAGCAAAAGCAGACTGTGCCAGACTAACTTGTTACCCTGTGCTAGGATTTTCTAGACAGGGGGAATACACTAGATCTAATATGTTTCAGTGTCAGGAAAGTATTTGATATTGTACCATGTGAGGAAATTGTGTAAAATGGAGAAAATTTGGATTAGTTGCGTTGTAAGGTGACTTGGGAATGCACTGACAGATAATGGGTGGAAAGGGAATGTACTGGTGCAAAGGAGGCAGGGAACTGAATTTTCAAACACTGTATTGGAAAATATTCAGTTTTTTCTATAGTGGCACTAGTGAAAAAGCGTAACATCGGTGATGAAAATCTTAGGACACAAAACTGGTAGACTGTATCGATAGAGAGGAGGATTGGAATATCCACGTACCAACAAGATGAATCAAAACTGAGATTAACAGAATTAGATGAGATGTAGTGATGCAAATAGAAGCTAATCACAATTTGTTCTGGAAGAGCTCATCACCTCAGTGGTGAATTGGTAGTTGGTGTAGTAGTCAGCAGCAGAATGATAGCATACTGCTATGTGACGTGGCTGAGAGAATAAAAAAGGATTGTGTCCTAGGAATTATGAGGAGAAGGATTTCTTGCATGTATAGAAAATATTAATGTCAAAGTGTATGGCATGAGTGAGACCTTATCTGGAGCCCGAGTATCACTGCGTTCAGATAAATGGATGCAAACAGATGGGTTGAACAGATGCAGGAGAGGACCACATGGATGTGAAGAGGAATAGAGAGACAGAGAGATACAAAAGTGACAATTACGCAGTTTTTATGTAGGGGAGGAAAATAATTATGTGAGCTCAAGATTAGAGTAAACAAACAAAACAAATGCGTATAAAGGGGATAATGAGCACAGTTTGCTGGAAATTACAGGAACAGTTCTAACTATTGGACCACCGATATTCTGGAGTGGTTTCAAATGAGAAAGAAGTTTAAATTTCTTTTAAAATGAAGTTTGATAAATCCAGAAAAGAACATCAACATTTGGTTCTGCGTAGTAGTGGGGAATATGACTCGGGAATCCTGGATGTCTCCTCCCTTAATTCTGCGTTCTTGTGTTGGGAGATGGGTATATACCTTTACAGTGGGTCCATTTTGAAAGTGCAGCTGGTTTCAGTCATCTTAATTTCCTTTTCCATGAATCAAGTTCTTTTTCTCAGGTCCCTTACTAGAAGCTGAGTAGTTTGGTTATATTTGCTGTCAGCTGCTTATCAGCTGTGCTCTCTGAATTGTGCTGGCAGAAGAGAAGTAATGTGCTTTACCTCACTGACTTTAACACTGGGAGTAGACAAATGATGGTTTGGACACCGTGGTGGAAGGTGTACTCACACAGTGCTGCCTGACTTCTTGTCCCGGGATGGGCTATTTGTAGACGTCTTCATGGGACAATTTTTAGGAAATTATTTAAATGAGAAAGTCATCTAAGGCAAGACAAATACTGCATTCTGAAATGTAGGTATAATCAGCTCCCTTGGGATGTTACCTGAGACCTTGTATCTTTTTTTTTTCTGCCTTTTAGACTGTATGGTTTTTAAATAGAGCACTTAGTGTAGCACTGAAGAATTAACAGAAGAACCTTAAAATTGAAGAACATTGCTTTTCAGCAAGGCTACCATACTCTGGGCAGACATTTTAGGTGTTTACTTGGTATTTTTGCTATTTGGGAAATCTTGACAAAGCAGGGAATTAAGCCGTCGTTGCTCAGCCATCCATTTTAATTTTATTTTTCAGTCCACAACTGTCACAGTTTATTCAAAGAGAAAGAATTTGTTTTAAGGAAGTAACTTCCTATTCAGTGGTCAATAGAAAATTAAGTGATGGAATCAATCTGATCATCAATGTATGTGTTAAGTGCTACCAGTGGCACTTTCACTAGTTGCTGAAGCAGAGAAGTGAATGGATTATAAGGATTAGACTTCCTTCATCCCCCTAGAGGTAAATGAGTCATGTGAAAATGGAAGGCTCATTTGGTAGGAGACAGTAAGAAAGACTTGGAAGACAGAAAGAAAAAATATATATATTGTCTCTAAATGGTTTCTTGCACATTTTTTTCTATAATAGATGCTGGGATGTGAGCTACAGACAGAATCTCGACGCTTACAGGGCAGAAATGTGACGGTAAAATGATTCTATGAGTATAGAATGAAACATGCTTGGTGGTTATTTAACCTGGATTCCTGAAAAATAATTTTCTCTTCCATTGTAAGTTTATTTCTTTCAAGAAAATTATTCCTTTTAATAGCAGATGTTTTCTCTTGTTCTTTTCTTAGAATCATTGGACCGTAAAGATCATCTGGTTCCAACCCCCCTGCCATGAGCAGGGAGCCCTTCCACTAGACCAGGTTGCTCACAGCCCCATC